CCTCAGGCGACGCACATGATAGAATAGTCCAACTCACGCTCCATTCATAACAGGGCTGCAGTTTGAATTCTGACCAATAGGAATTCGATAAACGCAACCGATGTCGACGGATGGACTAGAGATGGGTGCGAGTGTCATTTCATTTCTTTAGAACTAAATTAACTTAATTATTTTCTCGTTATTTAACACATGATTTATGGATTTTAAATAAAGGGTACAAATCTTCACGAGGATAATACGATATATTTGCTATACATAATAATTATATTTTGCATAGTTTATACTCAATACATTTTTGAACGCGTACACATCTCTACCAAAATTTGACTTATTCTTCGGGTTAAAGACACACATTGTCCGCTCTCTAGTAATAAATAATGAAAACTCCAATTTGCGGCCGCCGGTTTTTTGTTCTGAATATATTTCTATTTTCTATCTTCTACATAATATTATGTACATATTTACAAAAAAGGAGGATGGCGAGTGGTTGTACAAATTTGTAACATTTGCAACCAACTAAAAGTTTTATTTCATATTATTTTCTACATTTTAGTACTTATATGGATTCGGACTATAGTAGTGCGCTAGTGAGCTGTTATCTTTTATTGTTGCGTTGTGGTTGCGAAATATTTTATTTTTGGAGTTTACTATTTTTTAAATGAAGGAAAAAATATTAACAGAGTAAGTATTACAATTTGCTAGCATAGTTGTACTTAGTACTAAGTAAATAATAGGTATTAAAATAAATGTAGGTATTGTATTTGATTATTTGAAAATAAAAATTACATATGCTACAATGGACTTTCCACTTACTTAACCGTAATATAAAATATGACATATTGTTGTTGCAATGCACATACAGGCTGTTCCAATAGTGTGACAAAGTTTATAATTATTTTCAGTTATAGTTATATAGGGCAAAATTTTCAGGCCAAAAACAAGATATTCGGTCTGAAAATAACAAATAATGGAAATAATAATAAATTAAATGTGAATCTGAGCAAATAACTTTTTTCGTATCACTACTACAGGCAGTTATATTAAACTTTATCGCACTATTGTGGCACCCTATATATGACTAGATATATCATTATGATAAATTCAAAGCATAATAGGTAAAAATGTATAATTATCTATGTTTATAACAAATATTATCTGGTAAAATTCTTTTTTTTACTTTCAGATACAGAGACAGTTAAATATAACCGGAAGAAGTCTATATGTTATTTCGGAATATACCTATAGTGGTGAAAACAACCCGCTCTATGTAGAACAAATTAAGAAAGATGAAGAATTATGGAAAAAATCAATGGCAACAAATTTGGAACAATTTTATAAAAATTGTATACTACCAGAAATAATATACAAAAATATTCCACAGGGAAAAAGATGTATGGATCCAGAATATATTATAGAAGCTCAAATTAATAAAAAGAAATAATTTTATTTTATGATTTTTTAAATTTTTTCCTGTTCTACTGTACCTATTCTATTTATTTCTTTATTACTTTCATTTATTTACATATTTATTAAACTACACTGTTCCACAGAATTTCT